TTTGGAAAAATATGATTTGAAGGTGTTCGATAAAATGCCTAAAAGAGATTTTTTTACATGTTTGAGGTATAATGAATTGAACCCTTGCCATAAGATTATATACAATTATTATTGCGTTATAAAAATATGAATATATGCTCTACACCATATATGGTCTAAAGTGTAAATTTTCACTAAAATCTTCCCCCCCACCGAAAATCATCTGCTTTTCTTGATTCTTCAAACGAAATTTCGAGTTCACTACCTGCTTTAGAATTCGAATCCAGGCCCTAAAAGGGGATCACCAACAAAACCCTAACAGGTATAATCTTTCTTCAAAATATGTTCGAATCCCCCAATTGTTTATGAATTCGTGTGGATATTGATCAAATCGAGTTCGAATTGTTGAGGATTTCTCAGTTTATGCGTAATTAGGATTTCTCACACTAGCATTAAGGATTTCTCAGTAACATTGGCAATTAGGATTTGTTTATTGCTGGCTTAGTTCAGTAACATTGGCAATTAGGATTTCTCACACTAGCATTAAAGATTTCTCACATTACCCTGATTATTTGCTCTAGCATTCAGTAACATTGTGGGTAAGAAACCACGTGACAGTGTGAGTAAGCAAAATAACAATAATAATAAAGTTTAAGGTAATGTTAAATTTAAAACTTAATTTATGGTTTATATTGTTTCAAGCTACATAAGTTGATCTTGGTTAATCCTGTTATTTCTAGCATGAGTTTAAAGTATGGGGAGTGACCTGCAATGTGGCTGTGATTATGTGGATGAAGTTAACCAAAAATAATCTCCCTTTAGCTTTTTCTAAGTTACACATTATTCTTTATGATTTCTGGTTTTACTAGTTCTTATGTCATGACCTGTGGTGACATAAACAAACATGCTTACATGATTCTTGTGCTATTTTCTCTGTGAAATTGAACGGGTCAGCACTCTTGCATTATATCGAACTCAAGTCCTTACTTTGTGTTAGTTTATTGGGTTGTTTTTTCGTGGGTTTTTGCAGCTCCCTTTGTTTGAAATCTTAAACAAATCCTCCTCTCAATTCCAAATCCTTCGCACCCAAAATGTAACCTAAGTGAACTTTCTACTTACAAAAGATTGTCAGGTTTAATTGGGACAGGTGATTTACTGTGTAGATGGTTTGGTCTTGATCTCGGAAGAATTGTTGATGTACTGCTATAGAATTGTAATCATATACTCAAATTTATGTAAGATTTACATGTCAACTGTTCGTGAATTTAAACAGTAGTTATAGGTTTGATATAAAATGTATTTATGTTCTTCTTCTTTCTTTATGTACATAAAAGAAATTTTGGCTATTGTATTATATTTGTTGCCTCATTTGGAAATGAGTCATTGGAACGATAGTTTGAAGGTGCTAGACCGTCGAAACACTCATAACGAATGAAGTTTTATCCTTTTTTTTTCAAAATAACAAATGACAGACCCAGTGTCCAGGTCCTCGCGGGCGCGACGAACGTCGCGTGAGCGACAAAGGCTTTGACAGATCTGTTGGCAGGTCGTCGAGGACGCGACGACCGTCGTGGCCACGGCATACAATGACAGAACCTGGACAGAGAATGTTGTCCCAAAGTCGCGGCCGCGACTGGCGTCGCTCCCGCGACACGAATTTTTTTTTTTTTTTTTT